CGCAACCCGCACGACGCGCGCGCACTGCATGCGGCTGTCTCTTATACACATCTAGATGTGTATAAGAGACAGGAGAGAGAGAGAGAGAGAGAGAGAGAATAGGCACTTTCCAAACAGGCTTTGATGTCTGACAACCGATGATTCACATCTGGTGTGAGGCTAGGAACCCTTTCGTGAAACACCAGAACCTCTTCTACGGAAAGCACACAGGTCCTCTCCCATGTGCCCTGATAAAGCAGAGCCAACACCTGCGGATGGCTTTGGTACAACGTTTGTTTCAATGTCTGTACTTCCACCTTACGCAGACGTGGACAGAGCCGGGTGGGGAAGGGAGGGAGTGGTGGGGGGTGAGAGGTTGAGATGTACGTTTTCATCCATTGACCCTTCGAGTTAGAGAGTGGCCGTTTTCTCATTTCAAGGTCGAGATTGACTGTTTTCACATGTGGTGTGAGCAGTTGGGACGGCGGCCTTTGTCATGTAAGAGCATGCAAGTGCACTTTTGCGAATGTGTGTGTGGGCACGTCGTCCTCAGCGATGAGTGGAAGCTTGCACTTGGCAAAGAGTAGCCGCTGTCATTTGTAATTTACTAATTTTGGATATAATAATAAGTATTAATAACCAATTAGCATCCATCCTTTGTCCGCATTATCCGATCTTGTTTCATGAAATCGTTGTAGAACCAAACAAGTAAAGCAAAAAAAAATCAACGTGTGGTTAACATGCTTTAAAGTTGTTACCTCCATAATAACTATACAAACTAGAATCTCTCTGTCTCATCACGAACACACACTTGGTCACTTGCTCTCCCGCCTCCTCCCCCCCCCCCCCCCTCTCTCTCTCTCTCTCTCTCTCTCTCTTTTGATTGAGGGATCGTCACTTGTTCGCCCGATTGCTGTGGTGCTCTCACACGCAAGGGTTGCCCACTTTTCTCTCTCTCTTAAGGGTGAGTAAAGTCGCTAACGATGGACAGCGTGGTGAATCCTTATCCATCAGTCAAATGCATCCATCCTGGACAGACTGTTGTGGTTCAACCACCTGATGAGTCGCTGGGAAGTCGGACAGAACGGTCTGGCACAGTTCTGTTGTTTTTTCTTTTTCTGTTTTTTTTGGGCGGAGTTGTGTATAGTGAATTTTACAACTCACAGACAAGTGCGCTCACTTACCTGTGCTTGCACTGATAGACTTGGCTGCCTAAACCCTTCTTCTTCTTCTTCTTCTTCTTTTTTAGCGGGGGATGGGGGGGTATGAATTGGCTGCAAGTAATTTCCTGTTCCGATGGTCTAATTTTTTCCTATGGTTACGAACTGCGTATGTTGTGATCATTTATGTGTCTACTTATAGACAAGAATGTCATGCGTCTTTTTTTTTGGTAATAAATTGTATGCATGTTGTTGACACTTATTGTGTTGTGTAAACAGTTTTCGAAATGTTGCGTAAATTACACTCTCAAATTCAGAAATTCTCAATGCAATAACCCGCTCGATTATGACCTGTTGTCCTCTAAGGGGCCACCCGCAGGCTACAACCCCGGCCTGAAGCCGCGTCGACGGCGCGGAACAGAACCCCTGAAACTGGATTCAGGGGCCTTGCGCCCGACCGTTGACTAAAGTCAACTGGTCAACTGTACAGCGGCCCAAGAGTCAAAGTCAGCGTGGACCCAGCCCAGGCCGCCGATCAGATGCACACACTTGTTTGTATGCAGGTATCCAGACAGCATTCGGTCCAACTGGAGGTCTGCAACTGTACGAGATCCAGGCTGTCGGCTGCGATTCAATCCGAGCCTCCGTCGGTGTGAGACCGGAGGCAGGTCAACCTTGTCGACGCTACTTATTGACCCTGCCTCCGGGAGTCAATATTCAGTCTTGCCTTGCTGACTTGATGCTGGCACTGTGCGGCGACGACGCGAGACTGCTGCACAGCATGCTGGTGCCTCCCTGCTCTGGCACCAGCTGTCTTCTTGCTTGCTGACGTGGTGCATACCACGCTGTCTACATTGCTGACGTGGCACGTGCCACACTGTCTTCATTGCTGATTGGGACGCCACGAGGAGGGAGATCGGGATCCGTGGGTTGATTGCGTGAGAGAGAGAGAGGAGTCTTACCTCTTTCTGATGACGACATTGCGTGCCGCTGTGACGTCTTCATGGGAGAACTGTGCTTACGTGGCACATGGTTGTGATCAGATCTTGTCAGGCTCGTTCTGGGACACTGTTTGCTGACGTGGAGGAGGAGGGGATGCCCGAAGAAGGACAGGGGAACGAGGTGCTTCTATCTACGTGGACATTGATAGATACTTTCTCTTCCACCCTCTCCTCCTCCTTCCTCTGGTTAGGAGACATTGTATCGCAGATCACATCTCATGATTATTGGAGACATTGATCAGCGCTGAGTTATCTTGTATTTCGAATCTTTCGATACTTGACGAGTCCCCTCCGGACTGCCTTCATTACACTCAACAACATCCATGCCATTAAAATAAACGTGTACTTTTTACACAAAATTTCAAAACCTTGGGACTTGGGACTTGGGACTTGGAACTTGGAACTCGGAACTTGGAACTCGGAATTTGGGACTTGGAACTTGGAACTCGGAACCCATTCATTCCAAAGCAATCGTGTGGCGGACTTGGATTGATCTCCACATAGTTTGTTTTCAGTCTTCTTTCTTCTTCTTCTTTTTTCATATTTATTGGTTGATTTTACTACTAATAGCCTGTTTCTTGTCTATGAGTTTGTCTTGCTCACATCCTCTTCCTGTGATTTTCCTGACAGTTTTTCTTGTTTGCATTTTTTTTGGGTGTATTGTCTTCGTTGCCTGTGACTTTGCGCGGGCTACCTGGAGCACAGACTCAAATGATCTCCTGTTCAAGACTCTTCCGACTAAGTATGTCTCGTTACGTTATTATACGAGCACATTGCGACTCTTGGATCTCTCTCTTCCTCTGCTGCTATGCCCTTTTTAGTGCTGTTCTGCAGTATGTCGTCCCGGTCCTCCTCATTCTCTTCTTTTTCTCTCTTTGTCTCGTTGTCATGCAGCGGTGCATGTGGCTAGAGGGAGGAAGAAGGGTTGGTTATTCGGGACGCCATATCTTGCATGGGTGTGATCTTTGCTGTCCTTTCGGGTCTCCGGTTCAGGCTGTGGCTATGTCTCTGGCGCCATTGATTCCGGTCCTTCGAACTGTTCTTTTTCTGGTCCTCCTCACGTTACGCCTTTCTCTTCCTTCTCTTGTCATTCGTCTGTCCATTTGGGAAGATGGAAGGGTTATGCGGAAAAAAAGGGGTATGTTATACAACCTGGTGTAGGTGGGTTGTCGCTCGCCGGTGTGTGGGCGTTGTTACCTTTGCTGTGCTTCTTGGGTTTCTCCGCTTCAGTCTGTGGCGATCTCTGGTGCCATTGATTCTTTAATCTGTCCTCCTGGTCCTCCTCATTTTCGTCTGTCGATGTCGCCACGGGAAGGGGTTATGTGGGAAGAGGCGTATGTTTTATGCAGCTCGCGTACGTGCGTCTTCACCGGTGGCTGGGTGTTGCGAGCATCTTTGCTGCGCTTCTTGGGTAGGGGCTGTGGCTGTATCTCTGGTGCCATTTATTCTTCAATCTGCCCTCCTTGTCCTCGCGGTCATCGTCCTTTCGCTTCCGCTTGGCATTTGTTTCTCGATGTCGCCAGAGGAAGGGTTATGCGGGAAACGGGGTATGTTTATGCTGCTTGCGTACGTGCGTTGCCCCCGGGCTGTGGGTGTTGTGACCTTTGATGCGCTTCTTGGGTCTCATGATTTTCGTCCTTTCGCTTCCGCTTGGCATTCGTCGGTCGATTTCGCCAGACCAAGGGTTATGCGAGAAAAAGGGGTATGTTTTACGCAGCTGGCGTACTTGCGTCGTCACCTGTGTCTGGGTGTTGTGACCTTTGATGCGCTTCTTGGGTCTCATGAGTTTGGCTATTCGCTTCCTCTTGTCGTTCGTCAGTCGGTTTTGCCAGACCAAGGGTTATGCGAGAAAAAGGGGTATGTTTATGCAGCTGGCGTACGTGCATCGTCACCTGTGTCTGGGTGTTGTTACCTTTGAGGCACTTCTTGGGTCTCATGATTTTCGTCCTTTCGCTTCGTCTTGTCATTCGTTGGTTGATTTCGCCAGACCAAGGGTTATGCAAGAAAAAAGGGGTATGTTTATGCAGCTGGCGTACGTGCATCGTCACCTGTTTCTGGGTGTTGTTACCTTTGAGGCGCTCCTTGGGTCTCATGATTTTCGTCCTTTCGCCTCCTCTTGTCATTCGTTGGTCGATTTCGCCAGACCAAGGGTTATGCGAGAAAAACGGGTATGTTTATGCAGCTGGCGTACGCACGTCGTCACTGGGGTGTGGGTGCTGTGATCTTTGCTATACCCTTCGTGGGTGTTTGCCCCAGGCTGTGGCCATATCTCAGTATGTTCGCGCTGGTTCCGACTGTCGCCAGTGATCGTGGCGTTTCCTTCCCCCTCTCAAGTCTTTTACTTTGCGCTTCTCGGCTGTCTTGATTACCATCCCTGTGCCCAGCTGTCGTCAGCAGCATGTAACAAAGTGTGATGCGAATACTTTGTGGTAAATACGTGGCCTCCTTTCAATGGTCGATGATACGCTGGACGATTCATGGATAAAGGGTTTGTATGTTGTAGAGTCGTTCTTCCTGATTCCCTGTTTTGGTTGTTTGGTAACTTTGTGAGTGAGTGTAAAGCCGTAGCCTCCTCTGTTTCACTGCTATTTCTCTGTGTGTTTTATTAACTTTGCATCTGACGATTCTGATCTTGTCGTATTCTTGTTTTTGAAATTTGGAGTAAGTTTTTTTGTTTGCCAAACATTTTCCAAGATTTGTTTTGTTTTTTTTGTTTGCCAAACATTTTCCAAGATTTGTTGACAAGTTTTAAATTTTGATATGGGCATTTTATCTGTGTTGGTCCCCGGGCGGCACAGCTGGGGGAAGGTCGCCGGGGTACCCTCCCGGGCGGGCAGGGTTTGGGCAGGGTCCCAGGCGGTCCCAGCGCATAATATAAAAAAATAGCAAAAAAAAACCCAAAAAAAAATGTTGTGTAAAATTGCAATACAAACAACTTTTGGCTGAGACCCACCATGAAATTCCTTGTTAATTTGAAGATAAGAATCAATGAAATTCCTTGTTAATTTGAAGATAAGAATCAATGAGAAAAAAACATGAGTCGAAATGTAGTAATCATGTACCCTTTGAAACCCCTTTAGTCACTGTTTCGAGGGGGGGGGGGGGGGGGGGGGGGAGTAAGCGTGAATGGTGGAGAATGTGGGGTAGGGGGGGGGGGGGGGGGAGGATCCGTGCCTCTTTTTCGACCCGTCTGGTTTTGTTGGGTGACCCCCCCTCTGCCCAACTGGCCCAGGCGTGCCTGGTCGGGCGTGCTGGGCCGGGCAACGGCTTTCTATGTTTTTTTCCCTCCATCAAATCAAAATCAATTGCATATAACGGGAATCGAACCCCCAGTGCTTTTCCACACACACTTCGGCAATGCTCCCTTGGTATGGTAATGATGGTTGCTCTTTCGCTGCTCTTGCCAATTGCCCATCAAACTCCTTTCTTCTGCGCATTGTTCGGTTTGCTTAACCATTCGCGGCACGTCATCCTAAATCGCCGACCCACACGATACGATTTGCGCTGTTCTGTGTCATCTCGTTCTCTGGCCGATCAATTGTGTCTCCGCCAGGCTTTACCAACTCCTTCCTTTGCTGATTCTGTGTTTTTGTCCATCTATTTGCCGACTCGTCATCCTAAACCTCTGAAATGGTGCAAATACCATTTGCGATTATCCTATCCCGTCTGGCTCACTGCGTGACGCTCGTGTCTGTTTTCTTTTCTGCGCACTCTCTCCGTCAGGTATTTCCAACTCTTCCTTTTGCTCGTTCTCTTTGTTCAACTTTTTTCAATTTTTTTTTTCCCCTTTCAAAAAAATTGGACAATTTGTCAATTTCTTGATTTACGCGTGTCATCCTTGCGCAATACAATTTGGGTTGTGATGTCACGTCTCATCTGGTTCAGACGGTGATGGTAGCATCTGTTTTTTTTCCTGTTCAGTACACTTTTTTTTTTTTTTTTTTTTTTTTTTTTGGAACCGGCCTCGGGGTGCCATGCTGGGTGACACTCTCTCCATCCGGTACTTCACCCATTTGCTGACTCATCATCCTTCTGTGAGGATCTGGGTCCTCGGCAGGCCTGAGGGGCCCCTGTTGCAAGAGCGCCCGCCCTAAGTGAAGGCGGGCCTAACAAATCACGAGAGGCCCTTGGTTGTCAATTTCGCATTTGGGGGTCCAGGCAGTTTCGTCACGGCAGTTGGTTGAAGGGAAACACAGGCCGAGCAGCGTGGAAATTCCCAGGCCTTCCAGGCCTTTCCGAAAGCTCAGGCCCTGGGCCAGTTTTGCAGCCTCCTACACAGACAGTTGGGAGGCCCAACCGAATGAGGCCCAGTAGCTGCATCAGAGGCGCAGCATCCTGGGGCCTACCGGAAGCTTCTGGGCCCAGGCCAGTCCAGCCAGGCTGCCAATCGAGGCAGGCTCTTTCCATATAGGAAAGTGCTCGCTGCCTGGCCGTGGCATTCGGGCACTTGCTGGCTGGTGGCAGCGCTGCTGGAGCGATAGCTCGCGCGCCGGCTGCTGGCATTGGAGCAAGAGGCTGCGCACGTGCGGTCGTGTGGTGAAGAAGGGCGCTGCTGAGGGCAGCGCCATAGCCCAGCCTCCATAGCTGGCTGTGGGCTTGGACATACAGTGAGGCGCAGGGGTAGTCTTCGGGTGTACAACAAAGGGAGACGTGGGAGAGAGTCAAAGGGGAGAGAGAAGGATGATGATGATGATGATGATGATGTGAGGGCACATACCTGGTATTGGCGATGGTTCTGCATGGGCGACATCTTCAAGTACTTCGGGTGCTGCTGACGTCAACAGTTGCATTGTCAATTCGTAGGCTAGTAGTAGCTGTGTAGGGAGTAGGGTGGACGCCGAGCGCCAGGTAGGGAGATAGAGACTGGATAGATATGTTGGTGGTGGCGAGAGCAAGCTTTCATTAACATTGACTTTCAGTGCTACGATTCTCCATTGGTGTAATATTGGTGCAATGCTGCTTCCTGAACACTGTGTTACGATTTGGCTTTCAGTGTGATCGTGCAATCTGAATATTGTCATCTCGCTTCTGTTCATTTTCCTTGCACTTCTTTTTTTTTTTTTTGTTGTTGACTTGTCATCATTCTAAACCTCTGAACGCTGCGATATAATCTGCAATTTCCTGCCTACATCTGGTTCAGTGGATTATGGTAGTGGCTGTTTCTCGCATAAATTGTCATAAGCCAATTGGCTATATGTGACTACGATCTCACGCAACTGTCCGGATTCATGACGCTGTCTCTTATACACATCTAGATGTGTATAAGAGACAGGTGTACCTGTTTCTGTTAAGTCTGCTGTCTTCATCAATTAAGAACTGAGTTATTTCTGTTCATTTTCCTTGCACTTYTTTTTTTTTTTTTTTTTTTTTTTTGTTGTTGACTTGTCATCATTCTAAACCTCTGAACGCTGCGATATAATCTGCAATTTCCTGCCTACATCTGGTTCAGTGGATTATGGTAGTGGCTGTTTCTCGCATAAATTGTCATAAGCCAATTGGCTATATGTGACTATGATCTCACACAACTGTGCGGATTCATGATGTGTGAAATGCCAGTTTGTACCTGTGTACCTGTTTCTGTTAAGTCTGCTGTCTTCATCAATTAAGAACTGCGTTATCTCACGACGGACTCCTTGCGGGCCCCAAAGCTTGAACCGCTAGTGTACTTTTTTTTGCCGAGTGGGAAAACAGCGGGCCTTGGGTGGGCCTCCGAGCTTCCCTGCAGGCCCCAAAGCTTAAAGCACTAGTGTACCTTTTTGCTGAGTGGGAAAATAGCAGGCCTTGGGTGGGCCTCCGACCTCTTAGGAGGCCAGAATGAAACGACGGCCACCTATGAGATTTATTAATGGCAGCCGTCGCCGGGCCCAGGCTCCGATATTTTAGGAGTTTGGGAAAACTGCCAGTTTTCCCTATTCTCCCAACACTGGCAGAGGTGCTTAGTGCTTTAAACCGCGCAAAGTATGCGACCCAGTTAAACTTTACAGTAAAAAAAGAACGAGTCATTCCTAAAACTCAGGGGACTCGCCCCACGGCGGGCCTGGGGCCGGGTGGGAAAACGAAATTGTCCCACACGTCAGGGTTGGCACTGGTGCCGTGCGGGGGCCAAAATGTTTTCCCCACCCAGCCCCAGAGGCCTGGTGTTACATGCTGCGCCTGCACACGGGCCCCATTTGAGGGGCCCGACGGTTGCTGAGGGGGCCCCAGGCCACGCGCCATCCAGCACACGCCCTGGAGGCCCACGGCGGCCTTTTAGGCCCCAGGTACAGCCTGAGGCAGCATTCTTTTTTTTTTTTTTTTTTTTTCATACATGCGGCGCATCATGATGCGCTGTACTGCACACGTGCGCCACACCGCGCAACCCGCACGACGCGCGCGCACTGCATGCGGC